GGGAGCGCCGCCGCGCTCCCAAGCGCCGCACTCTACCGAGTGCGCCACCGGGCCGGCCCAATCATGTTTCTTTTTGATACCAAAAAGTCTTTTTGCATGCTCTTGAATCTCATTAAGTGCACTAGTGTTTCGTTTAATTTCTCAATTTGTTTCCATTAGCAGCTCTATTTTTCGAAGCATGTATTCTAGTTGTGTCAGCTGATCCTCTTTCTAGGACTGTACAACTTAAAGTACCAGCCACAGACATAATAAGGAGCATGAGCCTGAATGTACACAAGCACATGGCACCCTCTGAGAAAACTCAGCAGAACAAAACAGTGGGCACAGTGATGTAGCTGAATTCCAATACTGAGTTAAGTTCCTTATCTCCTCACGTACAAGTAACTAACAATGTGCAGATCACCCAGTTAAAGGAATACATTCTGTGTTCTCAGTCCTGAATACTGTCATCAAAGTGATGATGCAAAATAACTATTAAGCTAAAATTCTATATCCAGCTAAATGATCTTTTAAGATCNGATGATGCAAAATAACTATTAAGCTAAAATTCTATATCCAGCTAAATGATCTTTTAAGATCAAACCCTAAGATTACTCATAGTTCTTCACTGAAATAACCACTAAAAGAGTTATATGAAAGGAACTGAGCTCCAAAGGAAGCACTAGGAATAAGTTTAGTAAAGCTAAACTTAACTCCCACCTTATTTCAGAATCCACATCTTTGCTTAAGAACTTAGCTCTTGTATTTTCAGATGAATAATAACGTCCTGAAAAAACTTGATCACCGCTGGCAGTAAAAGCTTCTCTACAATTTTTGGGTGGCTTTTGGGACTGCATTACTGCACGAGCTACAGAATTATTCTAAAATAACAGATGAAAAAACACATTTTTAAAACTATGCAAAAGCATTTCTGATGTACACAATTTAAAAATTTTACCTATCATTATTTTAAGATAATTCAAGTGTTCTTATTTAAACATTTAAATGAAATAATTACATGAAGTTAAATACAAGAATTTCAAAAACAGCTTTCAAAGTTCAAAGAATTAAAACTACTTAGAATCTTTAAAACAACTAAATAAATAATACTTCATGACAAATTGATGTACTTTATTTTAAATTCTAATACTACTATCCATTTAAAATTAAAAATTATATTAACTGCTTTTTCACATGAAAATATTTATCAGTTCATACAGATTATTTTTCCTAAATGACTTTTATACCCTAAAGAAGATATGAGTGTATAGTAAATTCCAATGAAGTATGAGTATACAGAGTTATATGAGGAAAGTCTGTGAATATTTAAGCCCTGGAGAAAGTAAAAAGAGGATTATGTTTAATCAAGGTCTTGTCAACCTCTCTGGGGACAGACCTTTACAATAAGGCTTCATTATTTTCTTTCAAATATCCTTCTAAAATATGAGGGAGCCAACCCAACAATGACAATATGAACATGCACATATACACATTTGGGTATATAGAGACACTTCTCAGTTTCCACTAATAAGAAAAACAGACTGTTAATGTTTGTCTTGATTAAAGATTACTGTTTTGAATCTCCTTGTCCCTTTTCAAAGAATTTATGCCAATAAATTAAACAGAATATGGTAATCTAATCTAACAAATACATAAAAATACATCCACAGATGAAGAGTAAATACTGATTTATTTTATAGAGAGCAACATTACGTAAAAAAGAATGCATAAAATATCATGTAGTGTACTTCATTT